CTACTATTTTCTTGTTCGTGTCTTTTGTAAGTGGTGTACAATAAAGTGTTTATTATTATTATTATTATTATGCAATATTTTATATTATATGTTATATTTTCTATAAACTTTATTAACACCTATATATTATGTACTCATGTTTGTAAATGATTAAATGAATATGAATATGAAATATTTTTTGAACTGCACTAAATGCGTCACAAGCTATGTAAGTACCTACCTAGCAGTGAAAGATAGATTTTGGCTCCACGTACTTGAATTTCAAATTAATATAAAATTTAAACCATATATCAATAAACATCAAATTGATACTTACACACGTATTAAGTAAGCAGGAAACATCATATAATAGATAGAAGCGTTTAGTACGAATAGTTGCGCGTACGCATCCACGCAATATTGCCATCTTTTGATACCGGATGTTATTACTAGTGATTGGTGTGTGCGGTTTCGCACGGGTTATATTGTTGTAGCTGAGCTAATTTTATGATAGAGAAACATACGAATTTATAACATTTGTGTCATAAAATGCCATAGGTATCTAATGACAAGAGTTCAATGACACTTTCTTCGTTGGGTAAGGGAAAATGACTACTGCTGCGGAAGAATGTGTTTCCCGCACCGTACCCGCGTGTGAAACGGGATACCAGGGTGGTTTTTAGTCAATAAGAGTCTGACAATCGCTTTCGTCATCCCCAGGAGGAGCTCCATGAGGATTTTCCACCTTGACGTGAAACGGCAAATAACTGCTATCATTATCCTCATCGTGTCAGCATCAAGATGTGCTGAACAGAGGCTTTCCCTGATGACTTCCAGATCGATCGGTTGGATGTGCCTAAGACGACATTATCCCCTATCCTACGGCGATTCGCGTTCCGCGCGCGCCTCAAGGAGCCATCCACACAAGGGGCCCAATAGGGCTGATGCCGATACGAAGCCGCGGAATACTTAACGGGTTGCCGGGACTCCGGCTTGAAGTGCAGTAGTAGGAACGGGGTGGTTTTTAGTCAGTAAGAGTCCGACACTCCCTCTCGCCACACCCGGGCGGAACACGTAATTGGATGATTTTCCACCCTCAAAAAAAGACTTCCTTATTATTATTATTATTATTGAGTTACAGAATTAAAAACCCTATTATTAGTCTAATTTTGTTTTTATACGAAGTTATATTTAAACACCTAATTTTCAGTGACTTGCTGAACCATAGCAAGCAATAATAAATTATAATTACGAGGTTTATTATACTTCATTAAAAGCACCCATATCGCTGATGTTATCAGGTCATCACGCACAAACTACTGAAGTAATAAATAACCAATAATAGTGATACCGTTCTTTATAAAAGTGAGACATATTATTATATCGTGAGACATACTAAATTAATAGGCTGCGCGATGTCACCGCGTCCACGCACGCTGGTCATGAGGAAGAGCCCTTCTGTGACTCGTAACTAGTAGAGCTTTTCGCAATTTATTTACGTGAGTATACCGTTTTTTAGTTAATTTAACGGTAAGATACTTGAAAGATATATAGAGATCATAGACGCCTGACGTCGCAAGTTGTTTTTTGAAATTCGTAGACTGACTGTTGTCTGTCTGGTCCACAGAGTGCGATTTCCAGGTTGGGCAAAGTACTATAAAACTCTCTCCTGTAGGTTACAAGAAAATATATTTCCCAGTACACATTGTATTTGTTTATGTCTTAATAACTACTGACTAATAATGTAATACATGCACAACACTACGTAAAAGCCTACAAAACTTATCAATAAAATAAAAACAAAAGACTGACACGTGAGTGTGACCGGTGTGACGTCACGCAGGTGTACAAGGATTTAAAATATAATTATAACTATTATGTGCACACATATACATGTGTTGTGTGAGTGCAGGAATTGGGCAGTGAGGTTAACGACCTGCATTCACTTTCTCCCGATGACCGGCGCCTTGTAAATGACATATGTGTACTTGTATTTATGAATTTGAGGCTTAAGCGTCATTCATTAGGGTTTTATTTGGTAATCTTGGGATTTGTGGTGATATTGGTGCGATTTATGTGGATAAGCGATTTATGTGGCATTTGGCTAAAAATAGTAAAAAAACAACATCGTACAAAAGTAAATTAACGTTACATCGAATGATATCACTAAGCAGTCGTAGGGAAATCACTGACTGCTTATTCATGTATAAATTAATAAATAACATAATAGATTGCCCAACCCTTCTGAAAAAAGTCAATTACCGAGTGCCTGCCAAATACCCGCGTAACCGTATCGCGCTTCTGTATCCACCTCGTCGCAGGACTGTCTTGGGCGCTAATTCTCCATTACCAAGGCTGAGTAGATTGCTAAACGACTGCAGTGACTTAGTGGATATTCACGCGTCATCGTTGGTTGGGTTCCGGTCTGCGCTGTTGAAGCACTTATCAACAAAGAGTTGACTGATGGTGTCTAAATCTACGAGTGTATAAAAGTCGTTACCACACGCATGAGAAAAATTTACTGTTTTTTTTTTATATTGTTTCTTTTGTTACTGTTTTCGTGTTTAAAATTAATTTCATATACTTAGTTTTCTTAAAAAATCATATCAAGTTTGTTTTAGATGTAGGATAATAATTTTGTAAATGCTGTATTTACCTATAAGTGTTTGTTACACTTACTGTTAAGAACTCACATTTGTATCTCGACAATTGTATTGGTGTAAACAAATGTTGGTAAATCATAAATAAATAAAATAAAATAAAATATTAGATAGATGTTACAAGTTTAATGTGTATGTAGGAATGTATAATGGATCGGTTTCCCTGTGATTCCTGTGAATTAATGGAAATATGGAAATTGAGGTTCTTAAGTCAAAGTCAAATTATTTATTTCAACTAGAATAATAAACCACTTACGGAAGTAAAAAAAAATACAATATAAAAGTGTCTTTCTGTCGATTAATGTGGCTAATTTGCTCGTTGCAGTGTCCATGGTTACTCTATGAAAATAGTAACGTCTTTTTAAAATTAAACTGACATTTTAATTGTACATTTCAAGCCGCATTAAATAACGTTTGACTTGTAATTCACAATTAATTAAAATAATGTTTATTATGTGCAAATTAAGTAGGTAATAACTTAGCTCTTAGATGTTCAATTATATCGTTATGTAAGTTCTTAGGCAGTCGATGTTATTATATTTTGTAGACTATTTTTGTGAAAGTAATTAATTTTGAAATAATATGCTTCAATAATTGGCCAAAAAATATCTTGAATTATCTTTAAAATTACACCGTATTATGTAAATGGTTTGTTGAAAAACTTAATGAAAAGTTTCTTCCTACATATGAATGGCTGACAAAAAATCAACCTTTCTCTAGCTAGACTTTCGTTGACACCTAGGCTACTTAGCATTTCGCTAATAGCCTGCACTATAGGTAGACTATGTACCAACTTGCCAAGACCTTCAGTCCACGTGCAATAACTAGCTACTATTAGCACTGAGCGTATAATATGAACGTGCTTTCTCCGACTTTGTTGTCTGTTCATGCCCCTATTATTTGCCGGATACAGGAAATCTTAAAGTGGCACAAAATGTGTATTAATATTTTGTTGGTTTAACAACTATTGTATCATAAATGCTGCTCATGAATATGAGTTTCTAGCATGGCTTGAAACTCGTCGAGTTCTTTGTCATATTATGTGAGTAAGCCGAAAACATAATAATTTATTTAGTATATGTCCACGAAAGTTACAATACAACTATTGTATCAAAATTTTTATTCATACACATAAACATGTGTTAATCTTTTCTTGTGACAATAAACTGTGGACCGTTCTTAATATTTCTCTACCAGTATTTAATATAAATAACCTTTGGCTAGCTTATTAGAGCAAAATACCAATGCATTGCCCTTTAGTTCAACTTCGGACTCAGTACTTACCTAATTGTGTTTAAGAACATCACCCTTTAAGCAGCATGTTTGAACGATGACTAAATGATCTAGAAGCCTAGTCGATGCGTCACACACTCATGCATGCACGATATATCTATGAATGTAATTTCTACTACAAATCCTGTTACAGTTGCTAGATGAGCGTAGACGATGATAACTTGGGTATGTAAGATTGCATCATTATGCGGTGTCAGTGTCTTGATCACTCAGAAACTGGTACAAAATGGACCCCTACGCCACGCAGTCTGTTACCACAGACATATTGCATAATTGGTGAAAAATTAGCACATATATAACTGAATATACTAGTCTTAACAGTCAATGACCCTCTATTGCATAATGTGTGCTCGAAAGTGCTGGCACAGCCTAGAGATTCATGTCACGTCACTTAGTATAGCAAATAAAATATATGAAAGCCCCCATAATTTTATGCAGAGTCATATAATACCCACTTGGGTAGCAACGATGATTTTGGTTCGAAATTAAATTAAGGTGGACTCAAATTGAAGTTTTTGGCACTGTCTAAGGATGACTGTTTTCTATGACCTTACTCGAAAGGTGTACGAGCACGACTGTTTATTGGGAAGTCAAATTCAAGCATTTATTTCAATTAACTCGTCGAGTACCGGTTTTGTAGACACAATTATAGAACAATAGGTTGCGGCCACCGGTGACCGCTTGGTGTTTGACAGTTTAAACCTTAATTAGGCACTTTGAAACATCAAACTTGAATTGTCCGTCCGTCTGTCTGTCAGTGAAGATAGACTAGGCTAGGGAATATTTGCTAAGTGCTACATCACAGTAATAGATACTTTAGTAGGTATTTTCCATTGATTGGATATTACTGGTAACTAGTAATATGTGCTGCTACTATTCTGACCTATAAGCAACCATTTTATTATCCTTTATGATTAATTCTTTAAGATTTACCTTTAAAAAAAACAACGTTATTTAAATTAGTTTTATGAGAAGGAATCTTAAATCTTAATTAGTTCATAAGTACTTAAACCAAAACAAATACCAATTAACGAACTAGAAACACATTAACACTGCGCTTGCGCGATTTCATTCATTGAGATTACAATCTTTATGCTGGCGCTCACAGATGTCGTTTCGTGCGTTAATTTCTTCTGCCGTCGGTAGATGGCGGTACATTGTCACTGAACCGCGAAGTTCTTTTGGAATCCTCGCATCTTTCTCTTCTTCTTCATTACCAAACACGGTTTTCTGCATTCTACTTATAAATGGGGTTACTTTGCATACTAAGAGTCGAATGCAACTGGTTTCTTCATCAGAACCTTGTTCTTGAATTAAATCGTCAATAGTGTCTGGAAGAGATTCGTTTTTAGCAGCTGCGATGAGATCCTGAAGGTTTCTTGAGTTTTTATTCAGTATCCATGCCATTGGATCGTCTGATCGGTAAGGTTTTGATGGCCGCCTTGGTCCCGACAGGAATGTTGAAATCTGGAATGTGAATATCATTTTTATTAGCTTTGGGAAACGCATACTTAAGATATTTCAGAATAAAGATAAGAATTTCCAAGAAAGGCGTCATCGAGTTACTTACTTGGATTATGTAATTGGATACAGTTACACATACAAAATTCAACCGGACTTACCATTTGTGCTACAAAGACTAAAGCATTGACAGCTACTGCACTTATTTGGTTTGGCTGCAGTCCAAATAGGCGCACTATTTGACGCAGAGGTGTCAGGGGACTTTGCGTTTCATTGACGTCATAATCTGGGCCTTTGTCCTGAGTATATGATTCGCTTTCACTGTATGAAGTTTCCTCACTGTGCACATCATTTTGAGGCCATCTTCTGTTGGTTGTTGACGGTTTGTTGGCCGTTTGGAAAGCTCTAACCACAAATTCTGCTACTTTCAATGCCACAGACTCGGACCCTGGGGACAATTACAGAAAAACATTTATCATTATCTGAGAAATTTCAAAGGGCCGGAATGCGGAGATACTCAACGTTGTCTAAACTTATTTAAGTGTCTGTTTATCATAAGCTTTGCTTAATATTATGGTGTCATAAGTAAAGTTACCCCATGGCCAGAAATATTTTAATGATAAGAACAAATCGTTAATCATTTGTCTGCTTTGTACTGGTAATATGAAAGATCGTGCAGTACTCGGTCTATTTCTCAACTAACTAACACTTAATAACTGTGAATACATTGCTATGAGTATAATCTAACATACCAAGTAAATTCTGCGCAAATTTCATTCCGCTGCTTAATCGGTCCATTAATCCATCATTTCTGTATTGTTCGTTAGCGCACACAACTTGGAAAGTAATGAGTAACACGCAAAGCACACGTGGCGCCATCTTGAAGCACAGCACTGAACTACGAAGACGTACTGCGCGGGAGCTTGTTCTATGCTTCGGTTCTTACTGTAATGAGTGCGCAAACGCAATTGTCGTACTAGAGCATAACATTTAAGAATAATTGGTTGATACTAAAGGGTGTTTGTAAGACATGCAGAAACCTTACTTGTTGGACAAATATTAATTTTTGCAGAATGGGTGTTAAATTATCAAATTTCAATTTTTCATAGATGGCGTTACTAGTGCTGCGTTTTGTGATTTTGTTTCATGATAATCTTTGTTAGATTAAATGGGACGTTGTCTGGATTCACCGATTATTTATAATTCATATACATCTCCATATCTAATTAGTTTTAATTTATTTATTTTTGATTGACACCGGCACAACACTTGAATCCCTCATGAATTTCTAGTCACGAGTTTTTGTTTATGAATTGTGGTAGTTAATACAACTTACCTAGTATCACAAGTAAGTAATAAAATAAAAGCTTAAACTATAATTATAGTATTTAAGTGTGGGAGAGCTATGCTTCGGCACGAATGGGCCGGCTCGACCGGAGTGATACCACGGTCTTACAGAAAACCGACGTGAAGCAACGCTCGCGTTGTGTTTCGTCGTGTGAGTGAGGTTACCAAATCCCCAACGATCCTTAAACTCCTAATCCCCAAAAAGTAAACGGTAACGCACTTGTAACGCCTCTGGTGTTCCAGGTGTCCATGGGCGACGCCGATTGCTTACCATCAGGTGATCTGCTTGGTCTGCTTGTTTATCGGCTTATGGCATAAAAAAAACTTAAATCGAAACGAGTATCTGATGAAATGATAATTTAATCAGTGGAATGCAATGAACTGTGAATTCACTCAACACCTTCCATGCATCTGCATAAATGTACCATGTACCACTTCAGTAACAAAGTTGTTTGAGTTAACGACCTTTTCTTTTTTTTAATCATCTAAAATATGTTTTGCTATTATTTTCTCAACACAAATCAAATAAAGCGCACCCTGTAGATCTAGTTTGCGACGCTTTGACAGACAGGGGACAATAGAAACGGAAATGTAAACTTCAACGCTTTCATATTTGTTACAATATAAGAAATAGGAACAACAAAATAGGTAATTATTACAATGCATGTAAAACCGGGTAAATTAGAGCAAACATTGTTAATGAAGTATTGTTCAAAGTAAGATTGTTATAAAAAATCTTTAAAAGTTTTTTGAGAACGTTTGCGTCGCTTATTTCGAGATGATTAGGCATTAGTGAGGAGGTCTCAAACCGAACGTATGAAAGTAAACGATTTCGCCTACCTAAACGAAAACGAGGGACATTTTTTTACTGACTGTAATCAGTGCCTTCAAATTAAATGCGTTCTTCACTCACCTAGTTTTAAGATGAAAACGCACTGATCTATTTATTGTGACCGCTAGGCGATTGTCACGCTTAGCAGACCACAATGATCACACGTAAACGTTATGCTCAACTTTATTTCAACACCTAACATCTCATGAGTGACATCTCCATCATGTTGATCTTCATCATCATGTATTCGACCCTCAAAATCTCGTCTGCTGACGTCACATCAGCGGACATGGAGTTCCTAAACGAGATGCCATTGGATAAGCTTCTGAGGCTAAAAGCGTCCTTGCAAGACCTTGTAACTGCTCAATACGGTAACGTTACGACGACAACTCCAACGAACATACAAAGGTTTGGAGCTGAAGCAATGGCCATTCAAGCCCCACCCGTCAAGAGAGGAGACTATGAAGAAGGATTGTACAAGAAAGAAGGATACAGTAAGATCAGCAACATATTTTCAATGTCTGTTACAACGCTTGCCTTTTTGGCTTTCGGAGGTTATTTATTGTGTTTGATAGTGCAGGCGGTTAAAGCTAAACAAACATACAACGCCTCTATACCCACGACACAGCCTACAACGTTCTTCGTAAGTGCTGGCATCAAGAAGAAACCGCAGAGTCACTTTGCATCATACGGGAGAAGAAGAAGGGATAATAGATTTAGAAGAAGTTTGAAGATGGTGGACCTGCCTCCTGAACAATTGTTTACAGCGTTATTGCAAGTGTGTGAAGGGTACGCGAAGTGGAGCGAAGGAGAAATAGTATAGGAGTATAGGACCTTATGAAGTGTGTTAAGTGAATAAGGTTTGTTCGATTTTTATATCATCATATTTTAGTCTGAAATATCATGTAAAGTTTTCAAAGTGCAAAAAATACAAAAGTGTTGGATAAAAGTATACACAAATGTACCCACGCAGGGTAACACGGTGATATATTTCAATATTCTTCGGTTTTCCAGGTACATTTAAGCTTTAAAAGTTATTTATGTATTTCATCTTAATAAGAATCAGCACATAAAATCTATGAAGATATTATTATTTTTCACTAAAAAGCCGAGTGCTACAAAACGCTGTTTACATTAAAAGCAGGAAGCCAGATTGCCCAGCAATATACCTACAATCTGTAAACGTTTTCAAACTGTCAAATAATCACGCTAACACCTAATAATAGCTGCATCTTCGCTTTAAAGATTCTATTGTACATTCCTCTTAAGTGAAGATTTGCTTTCTGAAAGGGCTATTTAAGAAACTGCTTTGACCCATTTCTTTAGAGTCTAAATTCGAGTGTTGTTTGTGTGATTTTTATGATATTTTGGAATGTATCGAGTGTTGGGTTTTGTTTGTAAGAGCTGGTAATGAGGGGGCTGCGTTCGGTCTGTCATCGCGTTCGTTCTAGTGTTTACAGACCGGTGCCCACATACACTGTTAGCGATGCGAAATAGCCGTGTAACGTGTCTTATAAAAATAAATTTTTAATTTATCTACCAGCCATAAAACTGTTTGTAATTTACAAAAAAACTTGGGTTTTATACTCATTAAGATTGTTTAAAATTTTCTTTTTATAATACTGATTTTTCAAATTGGTATAATTAATGAGGTATTTTGTTATTTCGCTTTTACATTTGTGTTATATGATTAGATAAGTAAGTTATTTATTTGAATAAACAAACAGTGAAGAAGTCACATGAATGAATTGATTTACACACGTTTTTATAACCTCTTTTTTACTAATAATAACTATCGTGTACCGTTAAACGAGTTTAACCAAAAACAGTAGCAGCTGTCAGTGTGTCGTTTCTCTATGGGTCTTATAGATAAAGACCCTAACACACCATATGCCCGCCACCAACAGAGATGGTGTAAACAAACTCACTTGCGTATCTCTGATAATTATCTTAAAGTTGTCGCTACTGCACTTGTGCTTTACATAAATTTTATTGCAGTGTAATAAAAATACTAATAAAATAAATACTGAGTAACCTTGTTGTTAAAATCTGTTGGTTTTGTAGCCAAGGAGGTTCTCATTTTGTCTCATTTCGATTTCAGTTTTGTTAATGCGATGTTTATATTATTTTCATTGCGTTGAGGTTGAAACTTCGATTTTTGTGAAAAGAAATTATAAGAAATAAAATTGTTGAATTGATTCAAAACGACCCTGTTTTTTTTTTATTTCTTTTAAAAAAACGTTGCCCCACACTAGGATTTTCTCCTGTGTCGTGGGTGCGTTTACAAACATACAAGTTCACATCCACAAGACACCCAGACCCGAAACAATAATTTGTGGATCACACAAAGAGTTGTTCCGTGCGGGAATCGAAACCGCGACACGTTGCGCGGCAGCCAGCTGCCCAGCCATCGCGCCAGCCGTGCAGTCGATTGTTTTGATTCCAACATAATTTTAACTCGTCGAGCACCGTTATTATAGACACAATTAAAGAACAATAGGTTGCGGTCACCGGTGACCGCTTGGTGTTTGACAGTTTAATTTAGTGTTTCATCAATGATGAATTTATTTATAGTTTTCATATCACCAGAAATAATATTTAAAACACAATTAACTATGGAAAGGATCCCTTAAACCCGTGTTCCATGGAAATTCATCATGGTCATCTATTTATCTAGTATTTACACGCGTAAATTACTAAGAAAAGTCTCTCTACAGATAATAAATATGGGACGTTAATCAATATGTTCTGGCTCAGCATTGATTGAACAACTCCCGTTCCAACCGACTCTAGCATTTAATCTTATAAGAACAATAAATAAAATTGGCAATACTTCTAAACGACTTGTATATGTAGCCAATGCCAGCCATATGTGTAGCGGACATGACTCATGGTTGAATAAAGGAAGGTGTACTAGTTAAACAGTAATCGTTTAAAAATAACTAAGTTTGCTTTAAGTGATCCAGATAAAGATGCGTCGACTGCCTCGTTGGCCGAGTGGTCGGGTTCGATTCCCAGGTCGGGAAAAGTATTAAGTACCGGGTTTTTTTTAATTCTCAGTAGTGGCACGGAGTCTGAAATTGTGCCCGGTATATGACAATGGGGGTCCTCTATTACATGAGATTCATAACATAAGATAGTGAAAAAAGGATGTTACATTGTAGGTACAGTGACATAAACTGCCGTAATGAGCACCTCTTCCTACCCCTTCAAGGGTAAAAGGAGTGACGTTATGTTATAAAGTTGCGTAATTGGTCTAGTGGTTGCAAGAGTTGTTGCTGAGTCACTCTCAGTTCGAGCCCTAATAAAGCCGTGTGGTGATGATGATGAGCAAAACTCTCGCCAGCATCCAGAGGAGTACTGGGAAAGTAGAAGTGATGATGTGAGTATTATTCCCTACCGTGGGTGTGATAAGAGACGATTAAGGACTAGGTATTTGACAGAACAGAAATCGGGCGTTGGACTGTCGATCATCGAGTCAGTTCAAGTCCTCGTTTTGCTTGTCTTTAAAAGCGTATTATTTTACGATATTCTATAATTTACCACTACTGGTTTGTGTACCAATAAATCATTTAATCAATAATATGGATGTAATATAAATTGAGCTAGTCATAAATCGATAACTGACACTAATCACTCAATATACGCATCAATATCAACCTCTTATAAAATCGATATATTTTTATTTATAACATCGATTATAGTTTATAAATACCCACTCAAAAGAACCACACAATATAAGTGATATCGTGTTTACTAAATCAATGGTGAATTGAATAACTTAACATTTTATTTAAATGACTCGATTTATTCGTGCTAATATGACTCGAATAATCGAGTGTGTTTAGGTCAAAGGTTTACGATTGAGGACCCTCTAAACTAAATTGAATTCGACTCGGAATCGCATCGTAAAAGAACTCATCGTAAGACTTTACAATCGATTCGAATGTTATGGGGTATTCGGCAAAGAGCTGTTAAATAAAATATAAGATGGCAACTGCACCTAGCGATATGTTGCGCGTAATGTTGCCAACAATTTAAATACTTTAGTAGTGCCACCTATGAACTATGATGCTCTTTATATGAAACAATAAGTTGATATTGACAATGTTACAGTTAAATGTAAGGATTTTTTCATGATGTCGCATGTCGTTAAGTTTTAATTTTGAAGGCTATTGGTTCTTTAGGAACTTTAAAAAAAAATTTAATTTAAAATATTTAACTACAGCTTTTGTAATCCATTAAGGTTCTATTGGCAGATCAGGTACTTTTTACGGACTTAAAAAAATTAAAGCACATTTGAACCCGAGTTTCCACACCACGGTTATCACAACCATCTTTTCATGCAAGCACTTATTGTAGAACAGTTGTACTTTATCTCCTTACAGGAATGACGTGCCTTTGGGAGACATTTCGCAATCTATTGGCTATTACATAAAACGGACTTAACGACCACGTTTATGTTATCGGCCGCCCACCTCAGGATCAGGAATGCGTCACCAATCAATAATACTTAACTTGATAGTTGTCGGCCTCTTTGATTTGCGTTTATTGTTAATTGTCAACTGATCTAATGTCGAATAAAATGAAACTTTTGTATAATAAACACGTAATGAGATGAGTTTCTGATTGGATCGCAGATGTTTGTAAGATGGAGGTGTAAATTGTGTGTTCGTTCGGTTGTCGAAATGAAAATAATATCTGTTGTTTTTTTGGTTGGTGTGTTATTGTCTCAATCACAAAGTATTTCGTGGAATTTTGGTCCTAGAGAAAATTATTATTAAAAAAATATATTATGCATTTTCTAAAAAACACCCTAGTCTTAGTCGATGAGATATCAGATTTTTTTTAGTAATACGTTACAGTAATTTAAACGTTTTTATTGAAACCAAATGTTGAATATTTTAAAAATAACCAATGCGTATACAGATCTCTGGATTTAAGATAAACACTCCGCGAAGAGTGAAGTGTCCAACGGTTCTGGTTTGACTCAAAACTCGAAGAAATTATCTACACAAACCGATTTCCGGCCTAAAACTCTAAATTATACCGCACCTATGTTGTTTCGTGTTTTATATATTTATTAGCAATATCCGATTAACCTTTAATTTATTTAGTGCACACAACAAGGTTTTATTAATGCGTCACTTATTGCAAAAGAATTTAAAATTGTCAAAAATGTATGTAATCTTGTACCACGACCTCATGATAGCAATTTAGTTAATCTAGAAATAAGTCGTGTGCTAAATCTAGAATAACATAACATAACTTCACGCCTTTTATCCCCTAAGAGGTAGGCAGAGATGTACCTACATTACGGCACTTAATGGCACTGTACAATGTAACATCCACTTTTCACTATTTATCTCATGATTTCCATGTTATAGGGGTGAGCCTATATACCGCGCATAACTCCAGGCTCCGTGCTACCACTAAGAATTAAAAAAACCCAGCAGTACTTTGCCCGACCCGGGAATCGAACCTGAGACCCCTTGCCCGGCAGTCACACTTGCAACCACTCGGCCAACAAGGCAGTCATCTATAATAACCAGGTAGTAATTTCAACAACACATTTAAACGTGCGACATATCACACATGTCGAAGACACAAACATTGCAATAAACTAATAGAGAAACAGGTAATAACATGTTCATATCTCATCTACATCATAATAAGAAATTATACATATTAGCAATTACTTGGTACAACACTCATTAAGATAACTCTTGCACTCTAAAATCATTCATTACCACACATAGGAGTCGCGGTCGATGATAAGTAAGATCTAGTGGCCAGTTAGCTGAACTAACTAGTTTCATAAGC